TCAGAAATTTGCTAGGTAATTGGGATTTTTTTTGAGCAGTAGGACTAAAGAACTATGAAGTATTAAAAGATTGGTAAAAGATATATACATACTCAAAGCTACAAACCATGTATGATATAATTGTTGTGAAATTTGTAGACTTTCTACATTGAATTTCTATCACTCATAATAAGAATAAGACTTCTTTTTAAGCTGTATTTATAAAATGCCGCCATTTGAAGCCCTTCTCACGAATCTTCCAGTGAACGGCTACATGCACAGGGATTAAGAACCAAGTCCTAGAGGTGGGCTCCCTTGTTAAGTTCTAGCTCTGCCTTTGTTGCAGTCAAGTTTCCTCATCTGTAGACTGAGCTCATAGCGATAGCCTCTTCTGTGGAGAGCCACTCTCTTACACCATGTTGTCTGTGAGGATGCAGGGGCTCAGGAAGGTTCCCATCCTGCTCAATGGCCACAGTAAAGAAAGAGGCAGAGGACGCTGTCTCTCCTCCAACCGAATCTGCCCCAAAGTCACCTAAGATGCCAGGAAGTTGCGAAGCTGAGCATGAGGAGAAAAAGACACTGGGGTTCAGGTTTTATATGCTGTGATCTGTTCTTAAACAGCACTGTCACTGTGACCCAGTGTGGCTGACATAAATCCAAAGACCTGAAATATCGAGTAATGAATGGAAACCAGCGACAAGTGAAAATGTGAAGAGTAAGTGATCATTTTGCTCTGTGCAGTGTTGTAACTTCCATACTTCTTTAAAATGTGAGGCATGATCAAAAAATATGGAAATGCTAAAAATGTTTCGATTATTATAGTAAAAGTCACATTACTACCAATCCCCCTCAAAGTACTCTGTTTTGCTTCAAACACCCTTATTCAATCATTCCTGCCATTGTCTGAAGTAATTCAGGAAGTCCTCCTTCAGGAGTATCTTTAGTTAGGCTGTCATGGCTGCCTCGATGTCCTCAATCAATTCAGAACATTTACCTCTCCCCGTCATTTTGACTTTGCAGAAGAGTCAGAAGTCACTTCGTGCCAGATCTGGTGAATACGGTGGACGAGCACACCCTGTAATGCTTTCATGAGCCTGTGTTGCCACTGACTGGCACTTCGCAGCAGCGTCCATCCTATTTGTTGTTGTCGTTCCTTGTGAAGGCATTCCCAAAAGCGGACTTCCAGAACCATTTCCCACAGTGGCAAGAATGATGGCATAAGTGAGTATTTTGAGGGAAATTAACCACAATGTGCCTTTCACTGTAATAAATTTTCTCATTCGCTGTATATTTTGATGACTCCTTGTAAGTTTCATGACATCTACTGGATAAGGGAAGACTCTTAGAAATGTATTGTATTCCCCTGAGAGAAAAGAGACTTTGAGAGCTCTGGGGACTTGCTGAGCTTACAGCTGAAAGGCCAGAGCTGCATGTGGAATCTAGGGCTCGGTCTGACGATGTAGGACTCTGCCCGCTCATGATCCTCTGAGAATGCTGATTTCTGGCAGAGCAATATGAAAACACCCTTCAAAGGCAAAACAGTAGAATAAGGAGATTACTAAACACAAGGGAAATCTAAAAGTGCTTGAAAACCACTACTTCTGTCAAGAGTCACGATATAAAGTTGTTCCAACTTTATGGAGAAGAATGCACGGGTTTGTATTTGCAGTCTTTGGGGGTGCATTTGTAATATCAGATTTAGAATGTATCGAGATAATAGTTATCATAATCTAATCATGATTTTGATAAGCATCTTCTTTAGTGAACTCCAGCATTTTCTTAGGACTAATAACATAAAAATGAAAACAAAAACAAACTATACCTGTCTCTGGATTAGCTTGTTGGGGCAGGAGTCACTTCTGATATTAGGTTAGGACTTCATTTTTATCTCAATCACTTCTTTAAAGGTCTTAGTTCCCAATATAGTCACCTTCCGAAGATACTGGGGAGTTAGGGCCTTAGCACATTCATTTGGAGGAACACAGTCCGGTCCATACACATATCCGTATCTACATGTACATGTCTCTGCATATGTGTGAGTCTTATGAAAACCTGAAATAACATTGAGCACTCCTCCAGATCCTATTGTGTGACAACAAAGGGTACATATTTCAAGTTTCATTTCCCTGCTTAATTAGCAGGTGGCCTGTTAGTGCAAACTCATCAGGAATGAGCATTCTCATAGCCAAATGTTAGCCAATTTTCAGGCTCCTGAGTCTGATCCATTCATGGTGGGAAAGGTGAACATGGCTCAGGGAAGCCACGGAGCTGCTGGCTGCCTGTCAGAATGCCCACATGGATCAGAGCTGAAGAGGAGCACTGCAGGCAGCAAGAAAAAGACTTGCTCTGTCAGGGTGCTCTGGCCTCAGTCCTTTGATGCTCTTTGAGGTATGTCTTGATGGCTAGGACACTTGTCTACACACAGGAGGTGCAGACATGAATGTGGGACAGTTATTCAGTCCTTTGAAGTAAGCGGTTTTGCTTAAAGTAGAATGCACAGGATTTTCTCTGTTTTGGGGGGAGGGGATACTGGGGTTTGAACTCAGGTCCTTGCTCTTGTGAGGCAGGCGGAGGCACCACTGAGCTAAATCCCCGGCCCTGATTTTTGTTTTTAAGCAATCAAGTTTACCCACGAGTGTGGCCTCTCCCCACCCAGCTTCATTCCTTCTTCTCTCCCGCTTTTACCCTTTGTTTCCAAATCTCCATCTCTTGATTATTCATAAAGCGAAGGCCCACTATGTCCCATGCACGCTGCGTGGTCCTGTGGGGGACTCAGGTGACTCAGAGGCTCTGTGCCTTTCATGTTTTATTCTGATAACCTCTTTATTCCCTCTTCTGGTCTTGGGTGTGTGTTCCTCCATTTCTCTGCTAATTCTCTGGCAAATCTGAAAACCACATGTTTCTTCCATCTCAGCCGGTGCCCATGCGGAGGCTGCTGGCTCCTGACCCCTCTGCCCGGATGTTGTCACCTCACTCTGTCTTGCTTCCCAGCCTGCCTCGTTTTTCTTCCCTTTTCTGAGCTGTTCCTTCTGATTCCTCCCACTTCTTCCTATTCTCATTTTGACTCCTTTCCTGATTCACATTGATCATCTCTGATGAGCCGGCTTAGTGTGCAAAAATAAAGGTTCCCATGCTATACTTCCTCTCTGCCCTCTGTTGTCTATTCCAGGGAATAGAGATCCACTTCCATTGTTGCTCTTGGGAGCCAAGGGTACAGACGAGGGGTTTTCAGATCATTTGTTTCTGCCACCCTCACTCATCCTAAAGTTACTTCCCAATTATTGAGCATTAGCCAATGGAATTATTTTTTTAAGTGAAGAGTGGGAAGAAAATGTAGGGCAAAGAATGAGATTCTATAATGGGGTTTAAATCTTAACTATAGGTTCCAATATGTTATATTTATGTCTGGGAATACGACTGAACTCAGGCGTATATTCTACTTGTAAATTTCATTCTTATAACTGTATTTGTTGGGAAGAAGTGGTCAGATAAAAAAAATTTAAATCAATCATCAAAGCCACATCGCGTATGTCCTTTCCAAGATTGAGGATGACGGCCTCCCTCTGTAGCCTGTGAGATGACTGATGACCAATGAACTCATCCTTCATGTCCCGTGCACCCCACTAGAGCGGTAGCCTGGTTCTCCCCGAGCTCCTTCAGGGCCCAGCCAGTCTTGGCCATGCCTGTGCCCCAGCAACAAGCAGAGACAGGTGCCTGTTGGGGCCTCGGTGGAAGTGAGGGAGTGGATCAAAGGGAAGAACTTCCTCCAGCCTTCTGTAATCCCTCCCCTGTGTCACTCTGGTGAGCTTACTGTCCAGGGCGCTCATTTGGACATTTGCAAATGTGCCTTCCAACACTGTCACTTGGCCTCCTTAAGACTGAATGCTTTGTCCTTCGCACCCAGATCGGCTGCCCTGGAGGAGGGATACAGTGCTTCCCTTTGCCTCCTCCATATGGGTCTCTGTTGCCTCTGCAGAAATGGTTTTCACAAATATTGTTCGTTTCAGTGCTGTCTCTTTTGGTGGACAGCATTGTCTTTTGGGAATCACATTTAGAAAGCTGATTTTGTAGGAGCCATAATTTTAGTGTAAATAAATCTACCCATGAGATAGGGTTGATTTCTGTGCGTTTCAAAAGGAGAAGTAAATTATCTACCACTGTGTGCTCAGTTCGGCATGGCCACCTTCACTGGCAGTTACTTTACCTCTGACCCTGAACCAGACTGATTTCCTGCCTGGTGGGAGTTTTGAGCCCTCAGGGAGGTCTTGCTGCAGATCCCTGCACTGGTCTTTCCTCACCAGCTCGCCACAGATGGTCAGCAGGTGTGTGTGTGTGCGTGTGTGTGTGTGCGTGTGCGTGTGCGTGCGTGTGTGTGTGTGTGCGCGCGCACGCGCGCGCCTCCTGCCAGTCTCTGGACCTTGCTGGGCGGTATTGCCACCTGCTGCTATCCCGAGGCACCCCTGGGTTTCAGAACAGGTTTTCTAATTTAAAAGACTTAACTCCAAAAAGTCTGCACTGTGGGTTTTTTTTGGGGGGGGGAACCTCAAACTTCTCAGCTTAAGAAATAACGTTCAGAGGGCAAATGAACCTTGACAAGGCTAACAGCAGGGATTTCAAGCAGTGTTTCAGCAAGGCAGTCACAGAGTATTCGCGTGTCAGAGCACTGGCAGGTTCCTGGCAGAAGCACCCCAGTTGGCCTCCCCGGAGTCCCAACTGTTGTGCTGCCGCTGGATTCGGTCTGCCTGGGCAGAACGGCTTTTTGATTTGTTAGAGCAGGAGTGTGGTGAAAGTGATCCTCGCCTTCCGTCGCACACAAAGGCGAGGAGCTCCTTAAAGGGACCCGCCTGCTCCTCCACGCAGCTGCAAGTGCTTGACGGT